ACACACAGAGGTGAGTTACGGCGATCAAGATTAGAAAGTGTAAATGCTAAACAGTTTGTTAAAATCATTTTTGACCTTTGACATGAGAAAGAAGAAAACACTTGAGAATGATATTTTTTAACCTCTACCTTGGGTGTGTAGTTGATTGATTTGATTTCATTCACGTGTCTGCACCCTCTCTTTTACTGTAACAGTGTAAATGTTCCTGCTGTTGGACAAATAAAGGATTTCTGATTCTGAAATCATCCTAATGGATTTAGTTTTATTGTCCCATGTATCTGATTGGTATTTGGAAATGTTCCCCTGCAGCGTTTGGCGATGTGTTCTCGGTCATCGGGGTTCGAGAGCCTCAGGCTGCAGCCAGCGAGGCTTTCGTGAAGTTTGCAGACGCTCATCGCAGCATCGAGAAATACGGCATCAAGCTGCTGAAGACCATCAAACCTGTGAGTTCAGATCAACGTCTGGCTTTGAAGTACTCACTGAAAACATCAAGATCTCTAGATTGCTTTTTGAAATGCTCCTTATGAAGCATCATGTGTTGTTATTTAGATGCTCCACGATCTGAACACATATCTTCACAAAGCCATTCCCGACACGAAGCTCACCATCAGGAAGTACCTGGACGTGAAGTTCGAGTATCTGGTAAGGTGGAAACATGTGTGTAAATCTGTTCAACAAATGTATTCGTCAACAGAGAGACTGCATTCATTTGTTGTGTTTCAGTCGTACTGCCTGAAGGTGAAGGAAATGGATGATGAAGAATACAGCAGCATCGTAAGTTCTCCTTTTCATTCTTTTTGAAATAACTTTAATTAACTAACATCTTCTAAGGAGAATAAATAAATATCACAGAACCAAATCAAATTAAAAAGTAGGTATATAAAGTGTAGATGACGGGGGATTGGTATGGGGGAGGAGCGTCTGTTTTATTTCATTTATTTATGAGATAGATTGAAGTATGTTATTTGACAGAGTTTGTATTTGTGGTGTAACTTACTCCAGGGGTTCCCAAACTTTGCCATGCCAAGGACCCCCATATAGCATTATCCTCTGGCTGGGACCCCCCTGTTGCAATTTTTTTTTTAAATGATGAGTACATTATGATGGAAAATATGACAAATTAATCATACATCTTAATACATTTTCTTATTATATATTTGTATTAATAATTCATAATCAGTTATTCTTCTAAATTTTTTTTAAATTTATCTTTTGTTTGTCATTCATTACATTGATTGTGTCTTCTGTTATAAACATTCTTAACATAATATTAAACAGTAATATCAACAGTAAACATATTTTAAAGCATTTTTAAAGTGATTTCTGTCTTTATAATATTATATAATTTTGAACAGTAATATGAACAATTAACATGTATTTTTAGCATTTTTGAAAGCTATTTTTATATAATATTCAACAGTAATTTTAACAATAAACATATTTATATTCATAAATATAAACAACAATATTTGCTACATCCGTGCTCTCATCCAGCTGCAGAGCGAAATATTCACTAGCTCTCACTTGCTCCAAAAGTTGAGCAGATACTCAGTTTCACTCTCAGTAGCGGCAGCTCGATTCTGATTGGCTTGAAGGGCGGTCGTGTGATTTAAAAACAATATTAATAAATAAAAAATATTAAAAGATTGGCATCAAAGGACACATAGATTGATAGATATGCAGTTATTAATAACATCTAAAAAAAAAAAAAAGAAAAAAATTCCCCTTTCCCTCAAACTTTGCGTGACCCCCCTGGCGCCCCCACTTTGAAAAACACTGGGCTAGCCAACCACAACTCGGAAAGCAT